CAAAATGCGGAATCATTTAAACATGCGCTGAATCAAAATGAGTTCAAAGCATGCATGCAAAAAATGAAAGCGGCAAAATTTCAATAGAATTTTCATGTCGAGTTAAATATTTCAAAAGATTGATTGCTGATTTCGTAAGCTTCAATAGCATAGTTAATAGTGCACAACACTCTTAATCAAGAAGTCAAGAGTTCAAAACTTGAAGAAGTCAAAAAGTTTTAGTTTGAAATTGTTGAAATGGAAAACCGCAGGTACTGCCTCGCCCCTTAAACCCCCCTATACTGGGTAACCCAGAATAGGGGGCGGGGTGAGGGAAAGAGCAAAATTATTGCAGTATTGGCCTTTATCATCTCTCAAAATTTGGACCCTGTACGATGGCTATAAGTTAAAAAAAGTGGTGATTTTTTAAAAATCAATTAAAAATGCAACAAAATGCCGACAATTAAGTGGAAATTATGCCGACAATTTAAAAATTTTGAAAGAGTTAAATGAGCTAGTGCATATAAATAGTCAACAACATGGTCTTTGTTGAAATTACTAGAAATGTTTTGGATTTTTTCATGAATGTTTCGATATTTCTTCCGCCCTTGATTCTGTGTTCCCCCCATAGCCTTCAAAATGTTGAACTTCTGGTTTGCTGAGTCCATTTGAATCTTATTCAAGAAAGTGTAGAGGCATGGGTGGCTCCCTTGAAATAATGCTGTCACTCCAAGATGCCAACCTTCAACGGCGTTTGTCGTTCGTATCAAGCCTTCCGCTGCTTCTTGGGAATGGTTGCAAAGACTCATAGGGAATAACGGTTGCCTGCTGTTTCGCCCTATTGTTTCGCCCTTTATATAACTTCTCTGAAAGTATGAGGCAAGTTCGTCAATTTTATCTGACAGGCTTTGCTCAAGATCTAATCTGTCCACCACATGCTCAATCTCCTCAATGACGCTCTCGAACGATTGTTCCACTAAATCAGTTGGAACAAAACTGAGAGCGGGTATTGAACGCAGTGCCAAGCTTAGCTCGCAGTTGTTTTCATAGGCTTTCTTGTAACAGCCTTTGATTGAAGACTCTGGAAACGCACTTGTAAAAGCGTTTACGGCAGCTCGTTCAAAATCTAGAAGGATCCTCGATGGTTGCGCGTTATCAGAGACAGAGGTGATGGCTTTCAGGAATTTTGAGTACGTCTGTTCAGTTTTGTTTGGCAGTAGAGCATAAAGGCATGGTGGGTAAAATCCACCGATTTGAATATGAATAGTATAAAGCTGGTAAAACTGCATTGGGCAAATTTTGAATCTACCGTCGCAAAGCCAAAGAGAATTGTGAACTCGGAGGGCATGACCTTATCTCGATCACCGAAAATCAAAATTCGCTCTGGATCCATAACTCCACTGTCGAATAAACAGAAATCAGAATATTCCGTCGGAATTATGAAATGCCTGTCTTCAATGATTGGCAAAGACGGGACCAAGTTCTGTTTCTGGGGGTTAAGAGTTCTATTTATTGCTACACGACTGGGCAAGGATAATTGAACAGCTTTCTCATCAGTTACTTCCTGGAGACAAGTGGCAATTATACTACTATTAACAGGTACAATTTGCTGCCTGGCCTTTTTTTTCATTTGATGCATGATCTGGTTTGCCTCAATTTTCCCACGTCTAACATCGTGGCTGTGCTCATTTTTTGTTGAGACGAGTTCATCTCCTGCTGTGACGGCGAGCATGCGGCATTTGTGTGAACTGTATTTTGCGCATCTCCAGTGCTCAGTAGTTTTTGTCGTCTGCTTTTTTGTGTAATCGTGTCCGTCAATAATTAGCGTTCGTTTGTTTCGTTGAGATATTCCCCATGCAAGTTGACTCATAGTATTTATGTTGAAGTGTTTATGTGGATGTTTAAGAACGAAGTAGTAAACAATGAAGCAAAATGAAAGAATAGCCGTTTTGATTTTGTTTCAAAGGTGCTAATTAGGGATTATTGTCAAAGTTTGGTGTGTAATTACCAAAAATTATGGTTTTTTAGGGTCAGCTTCGAATATTTTCGATTAGAGTCTTTTGTTATCTCGAAACGAGGCCAGTGTACATTAGCACTTGCTGGTCCTCAATATGAACATCAATGAATCAAGTAAAAGTGTTAAGTATGGGATAAAACGGCATAGGACAAAATGTCATGTGGGGCAAGTTGACATAGGACAAGTTGCCATGTAGGGCAAGTTAGTATAGGACAAGATGGCATAGGGCCAATTGACTTGGGGCAAATAGTCCTGACACCCTCATAAATCGTTCCAAATTGACTCACTAATATTCCTAGGCGTCACTTTTTAATTGCGACAAAAATGCCACTCTTCAATTAGCGTAATGGTGCATATTTTGAACAGTAAGTCAGAAATCAATTCAAAGTTAATACAAAATGTTTTTGAAATTTAATTATTTTTAAACATTTCAAAAAATTTTATCAAAAACAAATCCATAGGCCTCAAGGGGGAGCCAGAAGATTCCAGGATCCGCTCTGATAGGAGCACTTTTGTTGCTGTTTAGATAAGGCTTTTATTGAGAAAAATGCAGAGTGGGAAAACAAGCAAAATTGACAAGATATATCAAACAACAAGATCATTCAAGTAGAGATCGTTCATGGAACGTTGCAGTGACAAAAAAATATATTTGCCATCATGTATCGGCAGCTTGCACATCTTTCCTGGTTATACTTGTTCCTTCTGAAAACTTTAGGCTTATGATTTCAATTTTTCATTAAACATATACCATAGCTTTTATAAAAACATATAAGATAGATTTTATAGAACATGTAAGATAGCTCTTATAGAATTCATTAAATGGCTTGTATAGAATATATAAAATAGCTTTTATAAAATTTATAGGTAGTTTTTTTTAGGTATAGAGTATATCAGATAGCTTTAATAGAACATAATAAGATAGCTTTACAGAACATGGGTAGTTTTTGTAGCTTTTTCTACAATCAGTTATCATTCTTCAACTAAGACCAATTTTTCTCGCTAAAAATTCGCCTAATTTTCGCATTCGACCTTCTTGTTGTTCCTTTTCAAAATAATTGTACAGTCGCTGGGCAAAATCTTTGCAGTTGTCGTTATACCGGTGGTAAGTAATTCTTAGCTCATTGTTTTTGTATAAAGTATCGAAAAAGCTCGATAGCTTAGAATCCGCATCTGGTAACTTCGTGGATTTCATTTTTCTGATATCTGTCAACCATTTCCATCCTGCAGTTCGTGGCCTGCGTCGATAATGTTTAATAACCTTCTCATGATTTTTGCATCTCTGCATTGTCAATTCTTCAGTATTTTTCTCAATAGACCACCACCATTCGTTAGTCTCCAACACCAGAAAACAGTGATAAACAATGAGATCGCTCAATTGATATGGATTAAGTGGATGCTTCCACATTTGCACTTGTAGAATTTTTTCATCTGAAACCAATTCGTTCAAAATTTGCACCAATGCTGATTCGGTCAGTTCAGACATTGCACAGTTTGGGTTGTCACAGTCTCTATCAAAGTATAATTTACTTGTCCATTTTGAGCCGTCAGCTCCGTCCTTTTTGTTGCTGGTATCTAGTTTCGAAAATGACATCTTATTCAAAATTTGACGTCTATAACGTTAACGAGACAGATCTCCGAAGGGTTTTTGATCTTAACGAAAGCTATATTAAATTTGGCTTTCAAGATCTGTCGATTAAATAATAATATAACGTAAGACCTTGCGTAGGAGACCAACTATAAGCAAAATCTCTGGAGGTTTTCTATTTCAATGATTGCTATCTTAAACTTTGCATGTTAGACCACTGTCGACATAAGGTTAATATAACGTAAGATCTTGTATAAGACACCAAATTTAAACACCAGGAGTTACAGGGGAAATTATAACTCTATCTTGAACTTTGTATGTTAGACCACTGTCGACATAAGGTTAATATAATGTAAGATCTTGTGTAAGACACCTCAAATGCAAGTCTAGTCAAAATTACCAAATGGTTTGAAATGAATAATTTGAAAATAAATTCTGATAAAACAGAATTTCTGTTTGTTGACAGGAAGGTTGCAAGAGAAATAAACATACGTGTTAATAATGAAATTGTCAAATCAGAAGACACACTTACAGTGCTTGGTTTTATTTTTGATTCCAAATTTAACTTACAACGACAAATCAATTCTGTTTGTAGCTCGGCCTATTACATTCTGCGGAAACTTTTTAGCATAAAAGCTTTCCTTTCTTTTGAGACCCGACATTTACTCTGTCAATCCCTTATACTTAGCCGCCTTGACTATTGCAATAGCCTATATTTTGGTTTACCCAATTACCTTTTGATGAAACTGCAGAAAATACAAAATTCAGCTGGACGATTTGTATTCCAACTCAAGAAAGGAACACCAACCAGCCCTTATCTACATGATCTACATTGGTTACCAGTCTCGAAGCGAATTGAGTTCAAATTACTGTGCATTGTTTTCAAAGTACTAAACCGAAGCTATTTATGTCCAGCATTTTTAAGAGACATACTCAAATTAAAACAAAATAGCTATAGCTTGCGTGATGGTCCAAAATTGGTAGTACCCAGAGTTAATTCAAGTTTAGGTAGAAGATCTTTCAGCTATTGTGGAGCAAAACTTTGGAATTCACTGCCCCAGAAAATGCGAGAAGAAACGGACTTTCAGTTATTCAGAAAATCACTGAAGACACATTTATTCAGATCTCATTATTACACATCGGCCACGTACTAAGGAGACAGACAAAACAAACACCTTTGAGTACCAAAAAGGGTGTATAATCCAGCAATGATGATGATGATGAAATGTAAACATCACGAGTTACAAGGGGGGGGGGATTATAGGTCAACTAAAACTAAATCCCAAATAGACAGACAGAGCTGTGAGAATAGAAATTTGAGAGTTTAAGAGTTTTTTTTTTTCTGTTACTTGAGTTCATTGAATCTTTTCCAACTGTTTGTTGGCCTGTGTTTGAATGCAATGCCATCTCTGCTTCTAGGTGTTCCAATACGATGAGCGCAGTGGCAGTGTGCGTATCTGTTACACACTGATAGACAAGGACGTGAACAAGGCGGCAGTCAACTGCACAACTGTCAGATGGATGCTAGATGGCAGACGAATAATCGCCGCATGTCAGTTGTTTTATTTTAAAAAAGCTTGAAACAGTTCGGATAGACCGAATTGAATTTTTCCAAGTATTAAATTTTAGGGATGATCTTCAACTTTGAAAATACAAAAGCCAGTTCTGATGATATTATAAATTGCATTGACAAAGTTAAATAAAAAAAAGCAATCTGCCTATTGTGAACAAATGGTGTCCGAAGTTTAAGGTAACAGTGAGACATGGTTACTGCTTGAAAAACATTTTTTTCCGATTACACTTTTCGGAATAGGTCATTTGCTCTTGTTTTTTAATTCAGTCTTTACGAAATTTATGTAATTGTCTCGTTTTGATATTGTTATGATATAATCGGTAACTAGACTTTTTTTACCCCTGAACAATTTTTCTTACAAATATTGTCAGAATTTAAGTCATTCATGCAATTGTTTTCACGTACTTTAATGCTTTATTACCTTAAAAATTCAAATATATTTACCGAGTCATCTTAATGTATAGATAATGTTGGAAAGTTTAACGAGAGGTTTTAAGTTGTTAAGAATGAAGTCCAAATTTGTTGGTCATGAACTAGCTAGTCTGCATGCCAATTTGTGTAACAAAAAATTACTTTGAAAAGTTTGTCGGTGAAGGGGAAAAGAAAAAGCGCCAAATTTTGTTTTCAAATAATTTTATAGAAAAAGTCATCTTTGTTCGGAATCGTTGTTTTCGTCTTAATTCCAGTCGTCTGAGTTTCCGTTTTTTTTTTTCAAATGCAGTTTTACTATAACTAAAAGTTGTTCTGCTACTTTGAATTTGTGAACTCTAATTTTGAATAATAACATACTTTTTTTGGATTTTTGTTCGATAAAACGGTTTCAGCTTATGTTATATCGGTTAAGTCATCTCATGTTGCGTACTTTTGAGGAAAATAAGTTCTTACGCTCTTGTATGTATAAAGAGGGTGGTATTAAAAACTTTAAGTTTTTAGCTCAGTTATTTTGTGACAAGTTTTGCTTTCGTCATTATAGAAATCGACACAAGTTTTGTCGGTTAGTTGCCGTTTGTCAAAGGATTTGCAATACTTTTTAGGGCTGTTTATCAAAGTCATACTAGGTGATTTTATATAGTTTTTTAGAAGAAGCATTTTTTCGACTTCTTCTAAGTGAACTTGCTTGATTTTTTAATCAGACTCGTTCTCACTTGGTCTAATGGTAACGCAGTTGCCGTTGCACACTAAGGTCCTGAGCTCGAGTCCCGGGCGGACCTTGTTTTTTCAGCATGTATGAAGTAGATTTTTTTCTATGGAAAATTCAGTCGACGTACTTTTGTTGTTGTGCTCTTTTTTGCCGGCTTCTTTTTTCCAAAGTTTAAAATTTTTCATTGGAGCTATTCTTGCTAAAATTGATGGTCATCACTGCTGCTGTTTTTTTTGTCAGTTCATCAACTTAGATTTTGGTTAAGTTTTTTATTAATATTTTTGAGTCACTCAACGTTGTTATTTTTTTTAGATCATAGCACATCTATATTTTTTGTCCTATCTATCTATCTGTCTATCTATCTATCTATCTATCTATTTATCTATTATATATTTAAAAGCGGGCATCACTGTCGCGCCATGTTAAAGATTTCACAACGTTGCTAAAAATTTGTCAACTAATTTAAAATTAATTGGGTATTGATACAAAAACTGGCCTCCAATAAAAAAACAGAACAAACAAACATATTTCACCATTTTTTGATTTTTTGGTACTTTTTGAGGCAATAGTTTTTCAAAATTCAGTTTTTTATGTTCGTAGGAAATGTTCCTATCTTAAAAGTTTCCTTAAAGAGAAGTTGTAAGAACTGCATAAAAAAACCGAATCACTAAAATATGGTCGGAAGTGTTTTGTCAAAGCTTAGTGTTCTGAAAATATATATTTTTGAGTCGTTGGAAATCTTGCATCCAAATGTGAGTTCTCAAATATGTTTATGTTCTGAGATATGACATTTAAATGATTTTTTGAGAAAATTTGGATTTAAAAAACTTCACAACATTTGAAATTTCCAACCCTGTAGTCAGGTGCTGTCGAGGTACTATCAAGGGTTGCAATTCTTGCCTACCAAAATGACTCGCCAATTCTTGCCTACCAAGGTAGTATCCGTTGAAAAATAGATAAATGGCGTTCCCAAAATGCGAGTTTGGAATTGGCGCGAAAAATTTTGATTGACTTCTAGTTTCGAAAGTAAATTTAAGTTTTAGATATCTTAGCGGAATTAGAACAGTTCTCAATTATGGTTATCGGATTGATGAAACTATTTTTTTTCTGAGCAGCAAAACTTGATTATTATCATTAATTCAATATAATTCAGGTCGGTTTTGGTTCAAAAGTTTAAGTTTAAAAGCGTAATCGCTTAAAATTTTTTTGACAACAGTTCTTTCTGGCTTTTTGTTTTGTTTTTGGGTCAATGGGCGTCTACCGACGTATTGTCGGCTTAGTGGCAGCTCGGGAAAAATTAAAAACTTAATGATGATGGTTGGTTGTGCTTCTCGACGGTTTTTCCGAAATTAAAAAAAATCAAAAATATTGCTCCTTTTATGCTGCGCTTGCGTTGTATCGCAAGTTATGCGTAGCTTTGATTTGTCTCTGTGTTAGCCGTTGCTTTTTTGTGAATTCAGATGCATGTTTTTCTGAGTCGATGTTCTGTAGAACATTTTGTTTCGGCTTGGCTAGCTCAAATAGCATAAGCTACATCCGATTCATAGGATCTAATTCAATGCTGCTTGTGTTTTTGGTGCAAAAAACTTTGATGGAGTAGTAGAAAAGGCCGTCATCTCTCGTATCAGAGGCACTGTTCTCCGTTCTTCTGATTTTTGTTTTCCAAGGCTTACATAATTTCTATGCGTCTTTTGCATTTCCGAGTGTTTTTCTTGCTATTTGCCGGTTTTCAATTCTGATCGCGAGTTACAGGTTCGCGTTTCCGGAATGTCTATTTAGTCATGCACTCTATTTACACTAGCGTCAGCTTAGTGTATTATTGAAAACTTTAGTTGTTTTTCTAACCTACGCCATTTTTGGGGCACCTCTACAGCTTTTTGATAGCATGTGCTTTGACATTCCAAAAGTAATGAGTTAACACAGTTGATTCAATTTAAATTTATCAAATGAACCAAAAAAGTTTTTTGTTTCAAAAAACAGCAATGATATAAACTCGATTTCAGAAATTTTCTAACACAATTTATCTCGCAATTTTTTGAAACGCATAATTTATACTTATGCGGCTTTATGCTTTCCGATTTGTTACATGCAAAGTTAGTGTGGGCGCCTTCAGTTTGTTATGTTCCAAATTATTACCTGCAAAAATGTCTTATTGTTTTTGGTGCCACTTCTGCTGAATCGCATTGGCAGTTTATTAGCATTTGTAACTTCTTTGTTCGTGACTAGTTTTTGTCGATGGTTAAGCGTGCGTGGCTGACTGGTTTGTGCGTGAGACTCAAAATTTTTATACTGCAGTAAATCGCAGATCGAATCTTAGACCTAGCCCCATTTCATTCATTAGTAGCTTTTTTTAAAAAAATTTTCTTAGTGCACTTTCTGCAGCTGCTTTTTGTCGTGTTCTCCCTAGTGTTTGCGAAGCGAAGCTTCCCCTCTGTTTTGAAGATATTAAATTTCAACTAAAAACGGAAAGAGCCCTGCGTCTAGCTAGGTTTTTGTTTCAAGGTAGGACTTAATTGTGAACTGCCAATGTATTCTTCTTTTCAGTGGCGAGAGCAAGTGATTTTGGTCTCGGGATCTGGACTTTTTGAGAGTCGATTAACGTAGTTCAGAGTCTCGTGATGATTTTTTTTCGCGTTTTGAATTCTAAGATCAGTTCATATCTTTTGTTGAAAGATGGGCGAACTCCACTATCAATCGTGATCGACTTGTTTATTTTTTAGATTTTCATCCGAATAAAAAAATCACTTTTTGATCCAGTTTTGTCAAAATCAATTAGTTTATCAAAAAGAGTTATTGTTCTGAAAACTTAGAGGTTTCAGGCCATATTGTTTTTTGTTCTGTTTCCTTGCGTTCCTTAACTATTTTCTTACTGCCTGTTGTAATTATGTGTTTTTCTTGTAACTAACTCTCTGACGGGTTTGGGATTCGAGTCCCGGCCGAACCATGTTTGCTTTTCACTATGTGTCTGTATTTATGTATACATTGCTTTAAGGCCCTTCCCTTTGGGTCTAGAAGTAAAGCACGCGGCATCCGAATGGAAGGTCTGGGGTTCGAGCCCCGGCGGACAGTTTTTTTTGAAAAGATACGCAAGAAATTGATTTTGCTTTATTTCGGAACCTCAAATTAATTAAGGCCGCTCTCACTCGGATTAGAAGTGAAACACGCGCCTTCGGAACATACGGTCTGGGGTTCGCGTCCCCGATGGTTTTGTTTTTCTTCGATTATTTACTCTAGCGAGTATCAAGTGTTTTAGCACGAACCTTCGTTTTTTTCTAATCTAACTCGCATTTAAAAGTGTTCACTAAAAATGTTCGCTTGTGTGCCTTTTTGCGTTAATCACGATCTGTAGAATTGGAAAGTTCATAGCCTCTGTTCTGGGCTTTATTTTTGGCTATTATTTGTGATACACTAAGCGTCAGTGATTGAGTGGTTAGTGCGTGAGACTCATAATTTCTAGGTTGTAGGCTAGACATCGCCGAATTTTTACTAATTCGAGGCTTTTTTAACTTTTTTCTTTTGCACTTTTTATTACTCTACAACTGCTTTTTGTCGTGTTTTCGCTAGTGTTTGCGAAGCACAGCTTCGCCTCTGTGTCAAAATTGTCGGACTCTCGTTTGTCTATTTTCCGGCTTAATTTCCAAAGCATGGATTTTTTTTTCAAAGCATCAATATTGTTTTAAGCAATTTTAACTATAATTGAAAGTCGTTGTGTAGTTTGTAAGTTTACCAACTTTGATTTTGTTTAATTTGAAAGTCGTTGTGTAGTTCTTAGGTTTAGCAACTCTGATTTTGTTTAGTTTTAATAATTGTTTTTTTCCCGTCTAAATGGGTTCGGCTAATGCTATATCGACTTTGCTATATCGACTTGGTTCCCTCATTTTGCTTCGTTAAAATTGCAAAAATCGTTTTTATGTTCCTTTGTTCCAGAAGGAATTGGGCGTAAAACCTCGAATTTTTCTATGGCAAGAGTTGGTTTTAGTCTTATCTGGCCTCTACCCAAGTTTTGTCAGCTTCTCCGCCGCTCGGTAAAAATTTTTTAACGGCATTTTTTATGTTCATTGACATGTTTTCCAGTCAATGAAAACAGTCGAGTAAATTTTAAGAAATTTTGTAGACGATGTTTTTTTGCCATTTAAAATATATAATTGCGACTGTAGCTTCCTCAATTTTAAGTCTCACTTAGGTTCTTTTTCTGTCTTTTTATTCTCAATGATTTGTGTGTTTATTGTATCACAAATTTTGCGAAGCTCCGCTTCTGCTCTGTGTTAAACAGACAAAAAAATCTCATAGGGCCTGTTTTTTCTTTAGACACGAATGGCTTCGTGAAGTTGTGGCATGTGACTTCCAAGTCGGCTCTGGTGACAAGGAACGAGAACAACACTTCGGACACACTCCAGGGTGCGAATGAGAACGACCTGGTCAACGAAGTCTTCCGAAGTGGCATGCCGACAACCACGATTAACTCTGGCAGAAGGGCGTCGAATCGGTAACTCATGAAAATCATAAAGAAAAATCGAGTTTTTGTTTTTTTTGTTTTGTAGACCAATTGATGATATTAAAATTCATGGATACTTAGCTTAGGTTAGTTTAAGTGGTGTTCAATTTTGCATATTGAAGCCCCATTGAGATAGTTTGCCGCTTTAAAAAATATTTCCTAATATGGTTTGTTTGGGAGCTTGAATTTCAAAAGTGAGTTTATTTGTAGCGCATTAAAATCAGTGACTTTTTTGTTTCAGGCAGGTTCACTGTGTTTCATACTCCAGGTGAGTTTTTTCATTTCAGACTTGAACTTCTGAATAAAGGTTTTGAAAAGTTTAAGAAAGAAAAAGATAGCCACTAATAGCTAAAACGACAAATCAAACTGAAGTAACCCACTGTTGTAGCAGTAGCACTGAAGGAGCTCAGTTATCATTTGTGAAAAGTATATATTTTGAATTTTAAAAAAAGTACGTGTACAGGAAATATTAGCTGTGAAGTAAAAGTGAAATTTATCTTCGAGAGAAAAAATCTTGTCTTGATTTTCCCTGCCCATTCAATATTTACAACGAGTTTTCTGTCGGCTTTCATTTATTGAGTTCGAGATTCAATTTACGACAATAACATTTCTTTCAAGTATGATAGTTGGGTCCCAAGTAGAAGCAAGTATGAAAGATGGGCCCTGCGAATTTCGTGAAAGTTTCAAAAACAACTAAACAATGCGAACCATGTTTTCGAAGATTTAAGGCTTGAACTTTCCTTGAGGGGGCATCTATATGTAAGGAACCCATTTTTATACGTGTACCTTCTTGGGTCACGCGTCCCATGGTCTCGTGTTTGATTTTAGGGTCCCAGTTACGGTGGATCTGAAAAAATGGCTAGCTTCTATGGACAGTGGTGCGTCAGTTGGACAGTCAGATGATGTTGATTACAACAAACAAGTCACATTAATAGCTACTGGAGGTAAGAAATAAGTTTTTACACTAGTGAGCGTAGTGAATTAGTATGAACCTACTTTTTTTCAGTTTTCTCAAATTGGGTTAATTTTATCTCAACAAGGCAAGTTACAAGTTGTCATTTACTCTAGCGCGATCTTGCGAACATAGTATATTATTACGAACCTTCTTTTTTTCCAATCTAACTCGCAAATAAAAGTGCTCATTTGGTGGCACTTTTGCTTCAATCACAATCTATGCATTGAAACTTTCGTGGCATCTGTTCTCTGCTTTATTGATGGCTTGTGTTTGTTATGAACGCAGTGAATACACTTATATAAGTCTTGGTGATTTTTTCTTAGTTCTTTTTTCAGGAAAAAGTTAACACTCAAGTTTGACTTTTTTTACCTCGTAATGTTTATGCATTCAGCCGTAATGGCCTGTTACAAAAGTGAATAAAAGCGTCCCCTAGAATAGAATGGCTTCTAGTATTGAACTTCTACGCGTAAAACTTACTAATTCAACGGCGGCCGTGCACGTTTTAAAATTGGGGAGATAAATTATGTTATGATGTCTTTGACTTGTGAAGATTTTCATTAGTCATGCTTCAGGTGTTTTTTTATTTAAGCCATTTTCGACTTTTCAAGTTTTTTTGCGGAATTTTGTTTTACCACCTGAAAAAGCGGCATGCCCTAATATATATAAAATGTTTCAATTGTGATCATCTTGCGGTTTTTGGCGCTCACTGTTTTGTATTAGCCTGTCGCAAATGCGGCGAATTAATCCGTCTCAAATTTAAATTTTGTTTGGATGATTGATCCAAATAAGATCTAAATAGATTTCGAAAAATATCAGCATGGATCTTACATGGTATTCCAAAATGATTTTTTCTTTTTTGTATCGAAGTTGTATCGAAAATGTCTATCAAAGATACTTCGGACACCTTAAAGGACAGTTGAGCCTTTAGAGTTTTGATTTGAATTGCTGAGTCTGTTTCCTTTTAGGCTCAGATGGACTGGCGCTTGTGTGGCTGCTGTATGAGCCTAAAGGTATACTGCAGAACCACTCGTCCAAAGTTGAAAAGAAATTTGTTGGTCGCCAGATGTTCTTCAATTGTGCGTGCATACACAGGTCAGAAGCCAATTACTACCTTAACCACGTATTTGATTAAGAGCCAAAGAACGAAGTTCAATTTTATAGATACAATTTAAAGGCAAATTGAAAAAATTCAACTGATGTAAGAAAAACGTGAAAAAATTGATTTAAAATAACCTATTGATCCAATTTCCCGAGGTTGGGTTAATTTTATCAAAACGTCTGCAATGATAGATTTTTAAAATTGAAACATCTTTAATGTCAATAGATTTTTTCGTAATAATCAATGGGCAAAATTTTCAGCTGTGTTTCCAAGTCTGTTGGCTATATTTGCTTGGTTTTAGATGCGCGATCAACTACAGGAAGCGTTTAAACGCATTCAACATTTTATACAATGTATGAGAATTTTGATCTTACTTGATAGTGACGAGTTTGCTGTATTTAAGCTAAAATTCTTAATAATACCGAGAAGGTTTCTGTTCTCGTATAGTCGTCGTAGAAGTTTACAGTGACTCAATTAGTATTCAATTTATTTCGTCCAAGCTTCCATTAACCTCACTCCTATCCTAATTTAAGTATTGTATAGGGGAACGAAGAACATGATGGATGGGCACACTATGAATATCTTCGCCCTGCAGTTCAGCAAGAGTGACCCCACCCACTTTTTTTCTGCCGGCTGGGACAGTGTCCTGTTCAAATGGAATGCCGTCACAGGAGAACGACTACTGTGAGTAGTTTTTTTATTCCTTTTATCCGATAAGGAACGAACCAGCATACGAGCTGGTCCACTCTTAACGCTGAACCCTTGTTGTGCCTCCTGGTTAACAACCTTGTATTTTTTGATCATTTGTTTTTGTTTGGTCCTAGGCGAAAAAACAACTATCTTGAATCATGATGGGTTTTGATCACGGCGCTAAAATCTTGAATGACTTGGCACAGTTTTCTCAAATTGACCCGCTGATTGGCCCAGCTTCATCTAATTGGTTTAATTTTATGAAAAAGGATCAACCTTTGAAAAAAATTTCGAGTTCAATGAGTGAGTGGGTTTGTTGACTGTCTAAATAATTCAGTCTGCTCTCACTAAAAAATGAATGGAAAAGAGCTTATATCGAATTTGTCATCCTATTTTTACACTAGTTTTAACTTAAGTGAGCGTTGGTGTTATACTACGACTATTCTTTTTTTCTAACTTAAGTCGCTAATATTGGTGCCACTTTTGGAACACCTCTACGATTTTTTGATAGCATGTGCTTTTATATTTGAATGGTAATAAGTAAACACAGTTGATGCATTTTAAATTCATCAAATGAAACGAAAAAAGCTATTTTTTTTCTAACAACAACCATCATAAAAAATCGATTTCAGAAATTTTCTAACTCAATATATCTTGCAATTTTTTGTAATGCATAATTTCTACATAATGTGGCTTTATGGGTTGTGATTTGTTACATCCAAAGTTAGTATGGATGCCTTCAGTTTGGTACACTCCAAATTATCACTTGCGAAATTGAGTCTATTAATATTTGGTGCCACTTTTGCTGAATTACATAGCTTTTTATCAGCATATGTAGCTGCTTTATTCGTGACTAGTGTTTGTCGGTGGTTAACCGTGCGTGGCTGAGTCGTTAGTGCGTGAGACTCAAAATCTCTTGCTTGCAGTAGGTCGCAGATGGAATCATGGCCCTAGTTGAATTTTTTCTAATGCTAGGCTTATTTCTTTTCTGCACTTTCTAGAGCTTCTTTTTGTCGTGTTCTCGCTAGTGTTTGGGAAGCAAAGCTTCGCCCCTGTGTCAAAGCATGGAGTTTCAATTCAATATTAACAACTTGTTCTATAATTGAAAGTCGTTCTTTAATTAGTAATTTCACTAATTCTGATTTCGAATACTTTCTTAAAAGTCAATAAACTTAGTTCAGACTCTTATGTAGGTCGTAATGATTTTTTCCTTAGAAATTGTTCTGGCTCAAATTTACTTTTTCGTTTTTTGACTTTCGAGTTTGATTTAAGTTCACTTCGTTTCCTTTGTTAAAAGAAAGGCAAACTCTACTATCGAAGAGCAATAATGTAAAGATCTAGAGAATCAAAGAGCTCCAAGGCTTTCTATTTTCTTTTTTGAAATTCGAGAGTTGAGATTTAAAAAAAACAATTGAGTATTGTTTCTGTTTCCTTTCGTTTCTTGACTTTTCCAACTGTCTGTTAGCTTTGTTTTTTTTTTCTTTAAATAATTTCGGTTTCCTTGTTGTTTTAGTTTTCCAAATCATCCTTTGGTTATGATTTCAAGTGCCAATGAACGAAGTGAAGGCCTTTAATTAGGTCGGGTTTTCAAGTTTTTTCAGGCTCACTTTCAATTTCGATTTTTCGCGGTTTCCTTTCAGATTTGTTTCAAATTCAATTCCATTTCATCTGCAAAAAAGAAGGAAAGTTATGCCGAGAATGTAACTGGCGCGAAAAAACGTGAATGACTCTTAGACTCGAAATTGAGTTGTAATTTTCAGATTTCCCTGCGGAATAAAGAAATTATTTTTTGATCCTACTGTCTCTAATTGGGCTGGCTGTTTGTCATAAAGTATTTAAAAATCAAATACTCTTGAGTTTTAAAGAGCTCTACAGTGATCAAATTTTCTTCAAAACTTTGAAATTTGAAAATTTTACGAAAAGCCATTAATGTTTTTGGTCTTCATTTTTTGGTCATCATCTTTTGGTCTTTATTATTCGGTCTCATTTTTTGGCCTCGTTTTTTCATGTTTGTGGGCCATTTTGTTATTTTTGTTGAATATCTTTTTAATGCTTGAATTCTCCATCAGAAGATTTAAAAGCATGTATTTTTACCTGTATTAATAAAGCGCATTCTTTGCGGCCTGATAATTACTATTCACCTATGTTAGAAACTCAGGTATTCAGAAGGTCTCCAAGGCGAGTGGTCTATTGGACTGTTTAAGATTAATTACTCAGCAGATAGTTTTTCTGATCAATTGGTGTTGCAATGTCTTTTGCAAGGTTTTTTAGCGTTCTTTTTTGTCGTAAATTTGTTGCATGTGTATAAGAAGTGCATCTTCGCCGCTGTGTGTGTAATGAATGTCGTCAATTATCACTCTAATCACGTTAATTTTTGTGGCTATTTGACTTTTCAAGCTCGCTTTTAAGCTTCTTTTTATGCCTGAAGCTGCTCGGAACTTTTCCTTTTCTTCTAACTGGTCTGTTGACTAGCAATTATTTGTTCGTTTCAGAGTGATCAAGGGACCCTTGGTTTGTGGCAATGAGGCCCTGTGTATGGACATGGAGACAGACAAGCCACTGTTAATATGTGGAGATCACTCTTCGGGTTATATAGATGTAAGTTTACACAAATGACGAGCGACTTGAGTTGAAATAAACGCCGAGGATACCTTAGCATCGTAGATTATTTGCGAACTAGACGTCGTTTTTTAAATCTCGGATTTTTGCGAAAGGTTGCGACAGATTTCAAAAACATTCGCCGAACTTTTTTTTTCTGAACTTATTGATTTTCGGAGATCCCAGAAGCTCAAGAAGACCATAAGCTGGCCAAAATTTTTCGCACCTCAAGGAAGTTTTTGTGAAAATATCCTTAAGATATTTTTGAGGCTTTGTTTTGAAGTTTTAATTTATCGGTGGCGGTTTAAGTTATTATGGAGTAAGCTTTACAAAGAAAGGATTATGGTATAAGTTACTCGCTTATATTATTTTCATTTTTTTCTAATGAAAAAGGGATTTCTCCTAATTTTTTTACCTTGGAACTCACTTTTTCGTGTTAACAGGTGGTGAACTTCGGTGACCCTGACACCCTTTCTGTGGAGACTAGACTTCTGATGCCGAGAGACAGATTTGTTCAGCCATACGCATGCTGTCTGTTCGGAATAGACAAGATACTAGTGGGAGGGAGCAACCCGAACTGTCTTCGAATCATAGACAGAAACATCAACCCTAATAGCCAACAGGTTTGTTTTGATCGATCGAATTATTCAGCAGATGTGGATATTTTTTCTTTTTATTCCGCTCACATCTGTCTAAATCAAGCGACTCCGGATAATTTCCTTATTAAGTTTTTACCGTTATTTAAGGAATTTCGTCACTATTCTCGAAAAATACTAGCTACATTTGATATTGAGGGTTCAATCTTAAAATTCACGGAGCGGAAATCTTCAATCTAAAAATCAGGGCGTGGAAAGCAGAGACTATTCGCATGCTTTAGAAGAGAAAAGTTTATGGATTTAGGAAAAGTCAAATTTGAATTTTCGAGTGATTTTCGGAAGCTTTTTTCCAAAACTACCTAGCCCCAGGGGCGGATCTAGGATTTTCTCGAGGGGGGGGCGGATTTTCGAAAAATTTTCCAAAATTTTGACGACCTTTTTTTTTTTTAGGTCGAGCAAATTGATTTTTTGAGCTCTCCCAAAGCACTGTTTTGCGCCTATTTTGGCAAAATTTTCTGCGCCGCAGGCAAATTTTTGAAAAAACAGTCAAAAAAAACCGTTTTTGGGCACTTTTTGAAAAATTTTGACAAAAAAATTGCGTTTTTTTTGGCGCGCGCTCCCCCTCAAAGTTAGTATATATTGGCGCCGAAGGCGCCTTTAGAAAAATTTTAGGGTCGGTCCGCCAAAAATGGATTTCTGAAAAAGTATCAAAGGGGGGACCCTTTGGGTCGGCAGGGGGTCGAATCCCTGAGGGGGGGGCGTCCGCCCCCCCCCCCCTAAATCCGCCCCTGCCTAGCCCAATCTGAGATTTTGAAAGAGCGAGTAGTAGTTTTCTCCTATCAAAAAGCGGCTGATTCCCTACTTAAGCAGAAAAACACCAGGGTTTAAGCGTAAAGTCCATTTTTTTGAAATTTTGAAAATTACACATTTCCGCAACAGTGCAATATGATTAAAAATGTTAGAACAGGTAGATCCATCCGTAGCTGGGCTCTTGTTTAATTCCAAGCACCCATGGTGCATATGCGAGGACGTCAGACTCCTAATCAACAGGCCGGATATTCAAATCCGGAACATTTAAATCGTTTTATTTTTTTGTCGAATTTTTGCTGCAGAACATTGACAAGTCGATAGAAACTCTAGCTGCTTTATTGGTGGGTAGTATTAGTAGAATTACAAGCGGCTGTGGAGCAGATGTGAGAACGTGATACTCTTAATCTCAACAATTTTTTTCAAGGTGTATTTTAATCTTTTCCTTATTTCAATTTGTTTTGCCTGTTTAGAGCTCTTTTATACATTTCACTCGTTTGCGAAGCACAGCTTCGCCTCTGTGTCAGATAAACGAATATGGGCGGACTAAGTTGATAAACTCATAAATATTTTAAAGCTAGAATAGCCGGTTGATGTGCTAATACAGTGCCGAGAAAAGATGAATTCAGAAGATGAATTCAGTGCCGAGAAAAGCTGACCAAAAGTCGGAGCTTAATGATTTTTATAAATGGAAACCATGATTGCGAGGACTTTCAATGTGACACAAATCATCGAAGTTATCTAACGTTTATTTGTAGCTAGTAAATACCTTGAATATTTTGCGTGAATATAAAACCATCGCTGGTTAGTTCCTACCAACTCTGTGAGTGGTTGGAACAATACGCAATAAAGGTACAATTTGCTCACAGGGATCAAACCCGCGAGCTATTAGGTCTCTCGATGAGTCCCACCAGTAAGGAAGAACTTCACAGTTTGTCTCTCGAAGTGAAAATGATATCCATTTGTTGGCAATTTTAAATTCAATTTTTGCTGGCCAGATAGTGTTTTCCGTTAACAAGAGAGATTATATCATTGGCTCAGTATCCTTCGACCTGCGAAAAATTTGTCCCAACTTTCTCTGCCATTTTGTTATACTTCAAAGGTTGACTAATCTCAAAAAGCGAGTCGAATAAAGAATTAATTAAGTCTTTGCACTTCGTTAGCTTAAACAAGATTATTATCCTGAAAAGATATTGTTTGCATCCATTTTGCAGGGTGGTGAGGCTGCCTTGGTGGATTTGGATAGCAGACAGTCCCTGCGGCCCAGTTTCAGCCAGGAGAGAGCCAACAACCCCCACTCTCTGGCAGACACAGAGGGGCACAAGAGATTCAGTATCAGTCTGACTCCAACTGTCACACAACAAGTAAGCTTTAAGAGAAGACGAAGAAGAATTTATTTTTCTTATAGTAATCATTAATAACATATTCAGAAGTATGCGTCAACTACAAGTACGTGTTAAGAGAATTCCAATAAAAATTAATAATAAATATTCAAGAATTATGTGTTATAACTTCACAAACAACACAAATCGAGAGAGGATAGACGGCGCCTTTCCAACCACATCCCCCTCCACATTTGCGTTTCATTGTCAAATTAGCGCAGGGTCATTATCAAAAATGCTTGCGATCTAGATACTTTTTTTGGTTATCTAGATCAACGTCGAAGTTGAAAAAAAAAGATTAATTGAGCTCGTTGCCGTATTAACCTATACCTTCCCCAAGCTCAAAAATAAACGTATATCCGCATCAAAAAAGTAAGTGCGAATGAAAGAACTGAATTTTCACCTATTTAGCTATTTTGGATTTTTATCTGTTTTGGTTTTCAGGGAATTGTTTCATGGATATTGTCTATACTGCATCCAGTAGTTTTCAAGCACAACCGTTCATTTGATTTTAAGATTGATACAATATTTCATTTGATTTTAAGACTGATCTGGGTTTTTTTTACAGGGTATGGCTTCTGTGTTTGGAAGTGTGGAAGACTTGGGTCAAGCGGTCACCTGCATTGCTCTAGGCCCAGAAGACAAGTTGAAGAAGCAGATCATAGCTGCTTGCAGTGGATCAACTATCATGTTCCTCAACAGCACAGTCAAGCGATGACAGAAAAGGACAGCATATAGTTTGGTTGATTTTAAAATCGGTTTTACTTCGTGTTTGCGAGAAGCAAATAGGAAATCTACACATTTCAAGACTAGTATTCTTGCAGTTATTGTAAATATCTAGTAAATAATTGTAAATTAAATCCCGATTGTTTGTGTACAATTTTAATGTGAATTTTAATCTGTATATTTATAAATTTAGTATTGGTCATTAATAGTTTTTAAGATATAAAGTTAAAGATTTTTTGTCAGGGAAAGCTTGTTTACTCGATTTTCATTTTAGCAGTTTAGCTTTGAATTATTTTAAAGTTCAGTTCATTTGCTATCCATCAGCAATAGTGTGAAAGTCACATAAAAAATGACTTCTGGTTTCAAAAACAAGAAATTTTTTTCTGAATTCCCACCAATTCTTCGAAGCTTTATTGTTCCGACTTTCGAAGAAAGTGTGGAATATTTATGATTGGGAGTGTTTTTACTTCAGTTAGTTCTCGAGTTGGTTTGTTGGTATGAACGAAATTTCTTTGAAAATTAGACAGTGTTGTTTCGAGCGATCTCTAGAGAGTCGAAAAATGCTACTGCATAAGATGGGTTTTTAACTCCCAGATTTTTCACTTTTTGTTTCAAGTTGCAAAGGAAATGATATGGACTCCTATAAAAAAACTCTGGCATGACTGGATTCTCATAACAATCGATTGATGTAGCATCAGGTCCTAACTTCATGCAACAATTATTTCTCGTAAAGGCTATTGAACTTCAGTGCGAATTTACTTAAATCAAAATGTTAAAAACCAACTGATGTCGCGGTATGATTTTTCTAAGCTCAAATTATCAAACTTTAAATAGCAATGTCAATTTTTTTATAATTAAAAGTTTTAATTAGAAAACTCAAAACGATAAAATCACAGCGCTTCGAGCTTCAAAAAAACATAGCCAACAAAAATGCATTAAAAAAATAGGGCTGTAATGTTGTGGTTCCGATGAAAGTTGACAAAAATTCAATCCCATCTTCGTGATTTTTTTATTTTGCTGTTCGATAGAGGAGTTTGTTCCATTTAACAAAGAGAACAAACTGAAGATTAAAATAAATCAAACGTCATACCGAGGAATTTCAAATTTGACCATGAACTACGTTCAGTGACTCTTTAAAAGCCTGGACTTCTATCTGAAGATAAAATGGGGCCATTATAAAATTTTTCAGACATCGTATACCGATATTTTGTGTGCAATTGAAGAACAATTATCTTCGAAATCCAGCTCGGTTGAAATTAAACATGAAACCACGTTTTACATTTCTTTGAGCTGTCTTTGATGTAGTCAAAAACTACCGAAAATGCATATTGACGCCATAGATCTTCCCAGTCAATTCATAATATGATTCGGAACAATAATATCACGCTTTTCTAAATTTTATAAACATGTCAGTAAGACTACTACTACTTACATTTGAAACTAAGGTGAAGCCATTTTAAATTTTATCAAACAAAACACCTTAATTTTTTTTGAGTTTTATCTAAAAGCAATTTTCATTTCAGAAAACTTAAAAACATTTGGTCAGAAAATCGGAAAAACTAATATATTTTTCCGCTTTGAACTGAAGCTAAGGTTAAGAATTTACAAACGAAAGCGTTTTTTATCTCAAATGCGTCTGAGGGCAACGTGCCTTGCTTTAATGCTTCAATTCACCAACTTATTCAATTAATTCTTTGTTTTGATTCAAAATCGTCGTCATTTTATTTCACAAAGTAAAAGCAATAAAAATCACCACAGAGAATGATTTTTTCTAATATTGTTTTTTTTTTGGACAATTTCAGGTTCTAGAGCTCTCTATTCCCGTCCAAAAGGCTTCGAACAGAATGAAAAAATTCCAGATTATGTTTGCATAAAAGCGAGACTGACTTCGATATATTTTTTGATGCCTTGGGTTACTGCAAAAACAGGTAAGTACACTTATAACGTTTTGAGATCAAATGACAAGCTAACACTATTTTGAAATTTAGAAAACAGTTTTTTTTTGTATTAAGCGGAGGCGGAATTAGGGAGGGGCATAACATGTCCTTTTGTTACTAGTTTTCATTTTAAAAAAATTGCCTGCCATAAAAACATTTTAGGACAGTGTTTTTGGTGATCACCGGAAATCAAATTAGCGATCTTAAAAAATCCTAGATCTTGAGACCTGAAAATCACAACACATTTCACTCTAAGGGTATTATTTTTCCACCAAATGTTCTTATAAAAATAACTGATCTTTATTATACCTACTGAAAAAAAATAAATATTGATATCTCAACTCAATTGAACACAGCGATCAAATCAGAAAAAAATCCGACTGTGACTGCATATAAATTTTTCTACCAAGTTTGAATTTACAAATTCTAGGTATCTAAGCTAAAATTTACCGATTGCCTGCCACAAATTGACCAAATTTGAACAAATTTACACGCATGCAATGTACTTATTGAACTGTTTTTCTGATCGTTCTTCAAAAGCAGAGAGAACCTGTTACCTCGCATTGAATTGGTTCAATTGTCAATTAGCAAAAAAAAATTGTGTGAACAAACTAAAGGACTTCGTTAAAAAAAAGTATTGTTGAGATACAATTACAATGTCGCTGAAATGAGAACAGTTGATGAAATGCGTGCTTTGAGTGAAATGATTCCGCTCAAACTCAATCATTATATATGGGTAAACTTTGTTGACATTGAGCTCACAGCTTTAGTCAAAAGTGCAAACAGACCACTTTTTCTTCTCTACTTCTACCTCGGAAACCGGTCTACTTTAGAAAGCTTCAATGAAGATTACTGGAATCTTCATCACAAAAAAGGAGGCGTTCGTGGCGCATGCAAAAACACTGCGCAATAGTGGGCCAGTGTGGCGATCAGTCTGGCTGTCCCTTGGTTGCTATTCACCAATGACCATGCACTGGACAAGCAAACAAGTGGAGCCTCATTTGTTTGATTGACGAGTCAACAGTTGCTGAGCACTTAAAACGATTAGATGAATCCGACTAACTGTTTTCACACTATATAATTTCATTCGTTTAGGCAGAAACACGTCGGTCTCTGTGTTATTAGCCACATTTTAGATAACTTTTGCTTCTGCGCCAGGCGTGGGTTATTACACGTAGTAAAGTAAAAGCTCACCTAATTTTAAAATACAAAATCAACATTGTTATCACGCAGAAACGTTCTTAGCATCGTGACGGAATATTATTCAGAAGCCAATTGAATTTCTCCAGATATTTGGTAATACTGATCAATGCGAAGGCTGAAAACCTGGATAATGACCTCAGAAAACACTGTGGTCGGAGAATATAGTTTTACTAGCAGAGCGACCTGCTAGTTTCAATTAAGCATGATGGGAATAAACAAAACAAGACTGCTCGTACCAAGGCGAAGCCCTGAATGTTCTGACTGCCTTTCAAGGTTTATGGAGCAGTAATGGCATAAAAAAATTAAATGAAACAAAATAAAATGAAATTTTTTTCTTTCTAAAATTCGAAATTTTTTATGAAAATCATCCCCCACAAGCCATAAAAACTACAAAAAGATAAATTTAGCTCCTTGTAACAAATCAATTATGGCAAATAAGCTTCTTTTAACCAATTTGGGACGATTTCTAAGATGGATTAACTCTCCGCTTACGCGTTAATAACGCGAAATATATCGCGCGTTAATTGTCCTAAATTGGCCAAAATGGCAATCTTTAAACCACCGTAACTTTACAAAAAATAATCACAGGTGAAATCTCTTTTCAAATTTGAGCTCAGGACAACAATACTTTTTGAATGATGAAAAAATTTGGTCAAAAATGGCTAGTTAAAAAGTCGAAATTTGTCTGAAGAAAAAAAAAACCCACCCCGAGCACAAATTTTCCGTTACTTTCGTATCGAAACTCGGAACAATAAAGTCAGATCAAAATGATTTGAAACCACTAGTTGACCCTTTGCTCGTCCTGGCCACAAATTACGGAGACAAATTATAATCGAGTGTGTTTTTCCACGAAGAGTTATAAGCAATTAAAACAAGTGAAGCCCAGGTTTTCACGTTTCTAAGAGCAAGGAAAAAAGTTGGAATAGCCAACAAACGACCAAAACATAGTCAACAAACAAAAAACCAGTCTTTAACTTGACTTAGGTTTTTTCTCAGTATTCGATGAGCTCAATCAATTCAAAAACAAGTTGTAGTTTAACTTGAACTCATGGCACTGTGAATTTTTTTAAAAAAACATCAATATGGACATGTTAAAAAACTTTCAAAATTTCAGCCGGAATCATCCAGAGTACTTTAAGTTTGCTAAAGTACTCTGGATACCTTGAAAAAAGCACTCGATTGCTCCGTTTTAGACTAGAAAAAAAAAGTTTTCAGAATAACATCGATAGTTACTACTTTTTTGGTTGTTGACTTTACATGATGTTCATGATGTTATCGTGATGTTTAAAATATCGTATTTCAACCAACAGCAAACGAAGGGTTGCAAAATGGCATACGCAAGATTTACTAATTACTTTCTTAGTACATAGCATAGTATGCTGCTTTTTAAATTTGTACTCAGTATTCAATAACTGCAATTAGTAAAAAAATTTTCCCTTTTGACTGAAAAATTTGATAGATTTGTAGACATTGAGTTTTATATTACAATTTTAAAGGAAAAATAGAAGAAATGCGAAGACAACCGTTTGCTATGCAAGCAGTATACAGTTTTGAGTTAAAAAAATTATAAGCAAGTGAAAAAAGTAAGCAAGTGAAAAAGGAGAAAGTAAAAGAGATATTTTCACTTTTGGTAGGAGAATAAATAGTGTCATACGGGGGAATTTAATACTGTTTAACCAGCAGGTATGAATTAAAAATAGCCAAGATGCGGTAAATTGTAGTATAAAAAATTACGAAAATAGTTAGAATAGTTGTTGTTTTATATAGATTTTAAAAAAACTGAGTTTTTAGTATCATACGTCACAACGACCATGGTTTTACTTTGTTACTAAACAATCTCTACGCACTAAAAATTCCCCAGACCGCCCAAACTTAGCAGAATTGCTTCATCAGGTGGAGTAGAACAAAACTGAGTTACCAACAAATTAAACTGTAAAGATTAAACAAAACTTTTTATTTTACACTGAAGTTTTCAGCAGTTTAAAAACTTCATTAATTCGACTAAGCTCAAACGCCAAAGTGTTTTTTTCTCAATGTACATGGAATATAAGGCTTCAATGTACATG